GAACCCGTCTGATGAGCTCATTATTAATGTTAACCCGTCGTGCGACCTGATGCTATTAGCGTGCGCCGTTCCAACAGAAATTGACAAACTTACCACGTCAGATCTGTGAATGTGGCAAAGTGAAGGTTGCTGACCACACATATCGGCGTTTGCTGTTGGGTATCGTACACCATTACAGCATCCTGTGTGGCGACAGCGTACACTATGCGATATGGCAAAGAGAAGACGGGTGCAGGGGACGGGGCGGCAGCGCTGTCATCTTTAGAGGGCTGGCTGCTCTTTGACGAATCATTCGTCGCACTGGTTGACGGTGGTTCCATTGAGGGGCGTTCGGTTGAAGATTTGACGACCGGCTCAGGCAGAGAAGCGAAAGATTCTTCGCCGGAAGAAGTATCAAGGGTGATATGGCGGGCAGGCTGAGGGGCCTGACGTAGGGTGTAGTAAATCGGAGAGCATTTGACTGCAACGGATGGTTTCTTATGGCCCGGGAGGTGGGAGATGGGCGGTTTGTTGAAACCCGCTCGGGTGTAGATGTAGACCGTGTTGATAATTTCGTCGGTAGTCTTCGCCGGGTCCGTTGCTGATACATGAGATGTCTTATACTGGCCGGCAGGAGTGAACAGTAAGCTACCGTCTGGAGCAAACGTCAATCGCCGGAAGAAAGATGTGAAAGTCTCATTGGCGTAGATGCTGGCGTTCTTGACCCCGAGACCGCTCAGCACCCCCGGGGACGGTACTTCAAGGGGCTTGACTGCAGGCAGCGGTAATGAGGGAGCTGGCGAGGCAGAACGGCGGATCGACGGAGAGGACCCAAATGAGGACCGACGGCTATGGGATACTGGCGGGGGATCCATGGGTAAATTCGAAGTCATTGGGGTCCCTGGCGTTGATGGCGCTGGGGAGGTGATAGTCACAGAGCTGCTGGGAGGTGGCTGAGACCGGATTGAAGGGTCTGGAGGCGCCGGGCTACTGGACGAAATTCGTTTGGCCGGTAGGTCCATCTTTAGAAACTTGCCATGAGACGTGAGGGTAAATTGGCCGTCTTTCGTTTTCAGGCTGTAGATGTGAACTGAGCGATCCGACGACTGAGTTGCGACGAACTCGTTGAGAGGATCTCACGCTACACCTTGTACGTAATGCGAATGTTCTGCGATCTGCCGGACCATCTGGCCTGGATGTTCGACGATTATGAGCAATTGCTTTTAGGTGGGAAGCCGAGCAGACGGGAGATGTGACTGACCAGTTTGGGCATTGTAGATACGAGCAATGTTATCCATGCTCCCCGTGATGATAAAGACGCCATCTGGAGACCAGGCAAGGTCGTAGATTTCAGCACCTGACGAGCGACACATGTGCTTCACCCGCCATGTCTCTTTATCATCCGATCGGTCCTCTCCGAGGCCAGGCTGCGTTTGTAGTTCCGACGGCACCCAAAGGAGGACGTTGCCATCATCCCCAGCAGATGCCAGCATCTCACCTGCAAATTGTCAGAAAAGACCGTGAGATCAGACCGAGGGCGGTTCACCTTTGGGGCTGAACCGAACGACATTGACGGCTTGCGTGTGTTTCACCAGTGTACTCAGATACGTGACGGTTCGATCTTCGCCAGTCGAATCCACTCTCCATAGCTATTGTTCTTGCGTCAGAAGGTTGGCGGAAAGAACCAAGGGGTGACAGGGGAGGAGCATCAAGGTGACGAATCATGGATGAGGGGGTCGTACTCGAACATTGTTATCGCTGTCAAAGAACGGTATTAGCACACCAATTGCCCTTCTTTAATATATCAACCGCGGAAATGAACAACGTACTTTCCAGCCGTAGCCAGACGGCCCTTCCCATTGGGATCGAAGTGGACCGAGTAGATGGGGGTGTTGTCGTTATGCCAGGCGATGAGCAATGGTGTAGCCTTCATGCTGAGAGCGGGAGCTCAGTCGGCTCCCTAGGTGAATTCGATAGCCGAGCAAGCAGGCGTTTGATCCAAAACGAGTTCGGTATAGGCGACGAAGAAGCAGTGGTCGTGTTGAAGGTCAAGATAGGCGTAGAATGACCGTCGCGGACGTCGCGGTGGAGGATCCGGTGTCGCCAAGGGATCACGGGACAATGAGAGGAGGGAGGGGGGAGAAGATGGGATGGAAGAGAGGAAAGAGGGGGCGAAGGAGGGAGCGAGGCCGAAGGGTGTTTCAAAGGGAGGGAGCGAGAGATGAAAGAATGAATGAGTGAATGAACGAAGCAGCCGAAGTGGAAGTGGTGATGTCGACGCTTTTTGTCCTTCCCGCGTCTTCTGCTTGCTCTTTTGGGATCAACGCGCCCGGCGAATGAGAGGACGTCTGGCTGTCAGCATCTCCTGAACACCACCACAATGGGCATTGATTTAATAAGGACTTCTTCAGATGGTTCATATAGCCGATGGATCTGTCGAGTTGAAATTCTACGGAGTATGGTCAAGTCCTGACGGTAATTGAGGTAGAAGTAGATCGGATAGATCATCCACATCAAACACATGGGAACACAAGATTGACCACCATTGACACAAAAAGCCTCTAATAGACAATCATCATAGTAATAATAATAATAATAATACATGAAGAAAAATACCATCCCCTGTTCCCTGCCTCCTATCCTCATGTCACCCAGCGACCTATCGTCTCACCAAACCAACTCACGGCCTTGTCTCGTCGTTTCTGTCGCGCATCCTCCTGCGTCTTCATAAACGGACTAGCCTCCTGGGCGTACAACCTCTGCTGTTCAATCTGCGCATTATGCGCCCGGATCTCCAGCTCCCGTTCGTGCGGCGTCAGTTGTTCCAGAGGTTTCGACGGCTTGAATCCGGCGGGAATCGTCTCTCCCCCGGGGATCTCCAGATCACCCGATGCAGGCTTCGCCTGGGGGTTGAAGAGCGATGTGAGCGGTGGTGGCGTCGCACCCGCTGCCCGAGCTTCCTCAACGCGCTTCTCATAGTCCAACATCTCGTGGTAGAGTTTATCGGCGTGCATCTGGATTCGTTCCTCCCGCTCTTCGTCCCAGTCGAACGCAGCCGCGTATCCCAATGCCTGGAGGAATTTCTACCCGCTCGGATTAGCATATCTTCAGTCCGCTGGAGACATCGCAACTATCGTCCACTTACAGCCTGCGTCGTAAAGCAACGAGAGAATGTCCCGTTCTCCTCTGAACACATCGTCGCACGAGACTTCAGCTGTTTCTGCCAGTTCCCGGTCTGAAAACACAGGGTTAAGGCTTCATGCTCCAATGCGCAGTTCTCCATCGCGGCCCGGTGCACAGTGTCATTGCGTTGCTTGTACTTCTCAATCACCCGCTCGGCACCCTTCATTTCAGCCGCTTCGTCCTTGGGCGGCTTGTAGGTCTTCCAGAGATGTGCGTAGCGTCCATCGGGGAATAGTGAGGCGGCGGGTACGGAAGGCTGTGAGGGTGCGCCGGCGTCGGAGGATCCAGGTGTCTGCGCCTGCGCATCTACCGGCTTAGAAGAAGAGGCGGAAGGAGTCTGCGCGGAGGGAACGGAGGTTGGGACGTATTCTTTGGGAGCTTCATTCTCGAGGTATTCGCGGAGACCCGGATCAAGCTTCTTGACCGGGTCGTCCTTGTTGGAATTGCCCCAGAACCAGCCCATGGGAGAACAGCAATATAAAGCGAACAGGAATGTAAGTAAAGTAGCGAAATAGGGCTCTAGGCGAGATGCGACTGTGTAGATAGAAGACTGAGGTCATGAACGATTGTGAAGAAGAACGTGCGGAGAAAGAAAGAGTTGGCCGGATAGCCGCTAAACCGCATTTGGGGGGAGGGAACCATATCAAACATAACTACTGCGACTGACACGCTTCCTCGTCACCATCAATCTCTCCTCCTCCTCTAGAATTTCTCTCTCTTCCGCTCCTTATCACTCCCTGCGCGTGTTTCGGCGCGTGAAGCTCGCCAAAGCGCCGCTTCTCGATCATGGCTTCCAGTGTGTCTCACATCCCCCGCTTGACTCGCGTGCAAACTAACATGGTGAAGATCGAGAGGAGCGGCTGCAGATGCGGCAGCGCGGAGCAGCGTACGCGCCCCTCACACCCCGCAAATAACCTCGAGCTGAGATAGGAATCTGATTGTTCATACAGGTCTCGTCATATAAAGCAAGTAGACTTCGGGTTTTCTTTCGGGTTGGCACCTGCGCCCACGGGACCCCCCGAGTCCGCCGGTGCTGATGTTGGCATCACTACCGGTCCTTCCGCACCACCACAGCCGCCTTCAGCGCCGGAAAAGATACGCTCAGAGAAGAAAGACGCGACATCGCCCAACCCATCGCCCGCGCAACGAACCCCCGGAAGCGCGCGTAATGCGCTCCCCGAACGCCCATCGACATTCGACATTCCTCCTGATGAGTCGACGGATCATGGACGCAGCAGTAAGAGACGGAAGATCGGTACGTGCGGAGGTATTCTCTTCGGAAATGACCAACTCCTAATATAGTAGACTCTCCAAATCTAGGTCCCAGGTCATCCTTAAGTCGCGACGGTTCTCAGCGTGAAACCCAAGAATCGCGACCCCTCCAGAATGGCACCAAGTCGGCTACCCCAGCGGTTTCTCCAGGAAGATTAATACGCGGGCCGTCTCCTTCGCAAACCGATCAGAATGGACCCCAATTGCCGTCGCAAACCCCCACTAGCACTGGTTCCGCGTTGCCAGATGATACAGTACAACAACGATCGATTGGAGAGAAGGCTTCGGATACAAACAACGCGAACAAACCGAACAGTGCCAATCCGCAGACAGGGGACGGGGGCAAGCGCAAAGGACGAGGATTAAGCGCAGACAAGACGTCTCCTTCGGGGGCTGTCGCACGCGCAAAATCTGCCGGAGAGACCATTCAAGAACCTCAGTCACAACCGATATCACCAGAAATCCCACTCCCGTCAACGTCTGGATTAACATCCCCTGGTTCTGCGAAAGAGTCAGGCCAAAGACAAACTGGTCCAGCGAAACGAAAGACCAATGATCGGAAATCGCTGGAACAGAGGGAGGCTACAAACCAACGAACGAAGAATAACAAGAAGCCATCGGTGGAATATGTTGTCGATAATGAGAAGACGAACGGCATACCCGAAGGTGATGTCGCAGGCACTGAGGACCGTACCCTACCCCAGAAACAGAAGGCGAACAAACCAGACAAGCGCGCTGGACGCGCCGGAAGGAAGCCTTCTCTGGCAACTGAACCGGTAGAAGAGACATCACCGCCTGTCGGCAAGGGCAAGAGAAAGCGGGGAGAAGTGGAACAGACACAGACGCAAGAGGACGAAGAACAGGAACCTGAGCATGGATCGCAGCCAACTACCAGGGGTAAGCGGAAGCAGAAGCAATCAGAACCAGCCCAGGAGGAGCAGGAATTAGTATCACAGCCCACAGGTAAAGGAAAGAGGAAGCGAAAAGAAGTGGAACAACAGCAAGAAGAAGAACCGGAACCGGAGGCCCCACGATCCAGGGCTAAAGGGAAGAGGAGGCAACAAGCGGAACAGGAGCAAGAGCCCGAACCGCAGCCTGTCAGCAAAGGTAAGAAGAAGCAGAGACAAGCTCCAGAACCGGAGCCAGAACAGGAGGAGCCCGAGCAAGATAACGACGTGGAGCCGTCTCCAGCTTCTCAGCGCCGTCACGGTGGTCCATCGAAGTCAAAGAATGATCGGAGAACGCAGCCTGAAGAGCGTGAGCCTGGGAATGAAGGCGAGGGCGAGGGCACGGTGCGGACCACCAGAAAGCCCCGACAACCTCGCGGAGAAACAGTCCCGGTTACAGTACACCGTCTTGTCAATGTCGGCTCCCTCACCGGAGCTCCCCAAGCCGAAGACTCTTCTGACGGGGAGGAATCTGCCGACGAGCTCGCAACGACGCAGAGTGCCAAGCTACCGAACCGGGGCGGCGTGAACGCGGCAGACGTGTTGGGTCAAATCTGCCGCGAAACCTTGGAGAAGACCCTAACTACCTTGAAGAACGGGATCACAAACGAGACGAATGCCGCGCGACGCGCCGAGTGGACGCGCAAGAAGAAAGCCGTGGAAGCATTTGGCACGGAACTCGAGGGCCGTCTTTTCGAGCTGAGCGAGATGCTCGACAGCAATTTCGTGCTGGGCGTCAAGCTAAAGAAGGCCAAGCGCGAGATGATGGACATGCGCAGCCGGCTGTATCAGATCCGGAAAGAGAGAGAAGCAGTTGCACTGCAGATGGACGCAGTGCGTCGAAAACACTCTGAGGAAGAAAACACCCGAATGGTATGCACCTACCAAGCGTCCGAACGTACATCTCAGCTAATCACTGCAGGCCCGCACTACCATCAACAACTCCCTCCACAGTCTGGACCTGGCCTTGGAGCGCAGCCAGAAGCCGGATGACAACGCTTCGCACGATCCTTCTCCCACCGCAGGGCTGGAGTTTATGCTCCGCAGCGTGGCGGAGACTGTCAGTTCCAGGGCACCTGGAGCGCAGGGTGGCCTCCTCAACCAGATCAAGTCGTTTAACGCGCAACTGGAGGCCGCTGCGCGAAGACTTGAGAGTAGTTCGTGAACCATTAGCTTTTGCTGAATACCCATTTGTTTTGCCGTAATTGAGTGACGAGCAATGACGATTACTGGATTTAATTCATTTCATCGTAAGGGACTCGCTACCGCGTACCTAGGTATATCTACAACAGTATGCAATGCAACCTATTTGAGCCGGTCGATGGTCTACATCAAAGACTATCCACAGCACCGCAACTTCAATGCTTGTACTGCAACCGTTAGTACTCAATCCACCCGAAACAAAGGTCACCTACTCTAAACTCCAGATTCTGCTTGTCCGTCAGATCCAGGAACTCCGAGTTCTCCTGGTGCTCCAGACCCTGGGCCAGGGCATCACGCCTGCGGTTCTCCCGCATGTAGTAGGCCTTGAGAATGAGCACGAAAACAATAGCCACCGAGACGGTAGCGACGATGGCGATCTTAGCGGGGATATAGTCGGGCTCGTCGTCCGTGCGGAAGGTCAGCGGGCCGAGGATATTGCCCAGACAAAAGGCCATCAGCACGATAGCGTTCATGGCGACCTTCTTCGTGTGGCCGGCGACATTAGCACCGGCAACGGAGTACATGACGGGCAGGGCGGAGCCAACGCAGTTGGTGAGGTAGTTGCCGGCGAGCTTGGCGGCCTGGCCCTGGGCAAAGGCCATGAGACAGGCGCCGAGCAGGCCGAGCGCCAGCACGGCGACCAGACAGAGACAGCGCTGGTCGAAGCGGCCGGCGGCGTAGGTGGCGGCGAAGATGCTGAGGAGGCTGACGACGCCGCCGGGGATGGTCAGCAGCTGGGTCTGGGTGGTGGTGAAGCCGAAGCTCTTGATGAGGAGGGCGGAGAAGCTGCTGATGGCGCCGTTGGGCACGTTCATCGCCGTCACGATCACCGCGATCAGGTATGTCTGCGGGTCGCGCAGCGCCTCCGTGAATTGCGCGAGCTTGAACTGTTTGTTCTCGATGCCTGTGCGGTTGGCCCGCAGCCGCTCCACCGCGATCAGCTTCTCGCGGTGGCTCAGCCGCGACTTCATCGGGTTGTCCGGGAAGAAGACCATCACGGCGATGCCCACCGCGATCGTTAGCAGCCCGAAGATCAGGAACATCACCTGCCATGAGCGGAACTCGTCGCCCGTGTAGAAGAGGAGCCCGTAGGCGACGAGCGCGCCGATGATGCTGCCTGTGCCTGTGCCTAGGTACCAGAATCCGATGCGTTTGGGTTGTTCTGCGCGGGTTAGATGGTCTCGGGAGGGCGGGGGGAGGGGCAGACGATACCGTCTCGTTTATACCACATGGAGGTGATGAGGATCAATCTAGCCAGCGTTAGCGGCGCGGTGCTTCTGGTCGTGGAAGACGTACGAGGGAGCGACAGCGCTTTCGAAGCAGCCGAGGAGAACGCGGAGGGCGATCAGTCCGGGGTAGTTCTTCGCTACGCAGTTCAAGGTGGTCAAAAGACCCCAGAGGGTGACTGGAGCCGTCAATGCGTGTATAACCCAGACGTTCGGGGCTCCTACCGTTCATGCCCAGGTACTTGGCCGTCGGAAGCCGCTGCATCAGGTAGCCGGTTGGGAATTCGAAAAAGAGGTACGACACGTAGAAGACAAGTGCGAGATTCGAGAACTGATTCGTCCGCATGCCTGTGTCTTCTAAGAAACCCATGATGGAGGCATAGTTGACTGGGCTGGTCAGTTTCTACTGTGGAAGAGAACGAAGAGTCCACGAACTCAGGATCTTGTCTTGATACTGGAGGTAGTACACTGCCCACATCATGGGAACGATCATCCAGTCGACCTTGCGAATCAGCCTTCGCTCTTCTTCTTCCGAGAAGGTGACTGTTTCCTCAGAGCGAAGGAAGTCGAGCGCCGCATCGACTTTGTCCGAGGCGACTGGACTCGGCTTTTCCGCCTCAATATCGACTGTTGTTTCCGACTTTTCCATGGTGATAAGGACACTATTCGGGAGCTGTAGCTATAAAATCATGCTGAGACCCTGGCGAGAGGGGTCTCCCGCTTTAAATCTCTACATCTTTTGATAAGTCAAAGATACAGCTTCCAGAAGCTACCCCAATCCTGATAACGAATCCGCAACATGGAGACCGCATGGATTGCTAAGAGGGAAGTCACAAGTCCTGGCTTGGTAGACGAAGACGACATCCCGCCAATGGACAGGCAAAGAGCGCAGTGAACTGCCGGCGGCCGCAGCCGCCTTGATCTGGCGTTGGAGAAATGCCAACGGCGGTTGATAACGACGATAAAAGGTTATCACGGCACGTTGATCGCGCCCAAAGAAGCAGGTCTATAGATTAGGCCGCCGCTAGGAGGAGGACTTATCACCCCCGCACGGGAGACGACTGACAACTTGCCTGCTATCAGGGAGATATGGATGCATCTCCAACCGTCCACCGGCCGATGCTGTGGGTTGGGGAATGCAAGTTTCAGTCATGGAGATTGGGGTCACATATTGGACCTTGATGTGAGTCCTTCGTGACTAGAAGCCTGCCAGATTGACCTCGCACATATGTGCATATATGCCTGTGGACTGTCGGGCTTATCCATGCTGCTGAGTATTCAGATGCTTCCCCGCAGATTCGTCGGTTCAGCCCGAAGGAGGGTATAAGCTGACTTCCTCGATGGTTTTTTCGCGCCAGCTCTGGATTCAACGCGACAAACGACATACTGATCATTGTTGATACGCGTCCCATATTCAAGGACTGCTCATGGTACACGGACAAGATCATGCATAGAAAGGCAGATTACAAAGAGACTGCAGCGAAGCAAAGAATGCTACTGTAGGAGACTGGGGTAAGCAACGGGAGGTTGAAAAGCCTTCCCCCAGGTCCTGAACAAACCCGACGTACCGTGAAAACCTGAATGGCTCCAGAAGAGGTTCGGCGGTGCTCCAGTGGAACAGAAGGACATTCAACAACCTCCATATTGGTTGTTGGCGGGCCCGAGAGTGATCAGCATGAACAGTGTATTCCCCTCACACCAACATCCAATAATCCCGTCACCAGAACCTGGCGCCGTGATGGTGCGAAGCTAGAGAACGCCTGAGGTTGGATTTGTGCTGGTGTCGATGGAGGATCCAGCTTGACCGCTTTTTCTCGCCTCTTCTGCTGCGTCGATCCTCTCCACTAGACTAAATCCCGACGATTCCGGTGACCGTGGCTCAACGAACAGATGGAGAAATCTCTCACTGCACCATACAGGTAGAATGATGGATAGTCGCGAACGCTGGGTCCCAAACTCCAGCACTAGCACTTCTGATCGTGGGGACCGGGGCCAGCTGCAGGATGGAATGGTCAGCTGGTGGAGATGATCTGCGGTGGTGTTAAGGTCCATGTGCATGTTTCTATACCGTCTTCATGTTGGATGAACTACCAGTCCTGGACAGGAAGGTTCCGAGAGCCTGACTAGCGAATTGGAAGGAACTCATATCTCTGGAATACACTATATGCTATGTTAGTCGTATTGAATCTGTTTGTTTGATGGATACGTCGGACGTTTCTAATCGGAGCAGTGAGACTCCGTACAAGACCTCATTCCACGAAGATCTTCCAGTGGCTCAACAACTGTAGCTTCTGCCAGGAAAGATCAAGGTTGTTTCGGAGATGACATTGCTCTTGGCCTGGCCAAGATGTCAATCTTGTGCTCCAGGGATGTGGTTGAAGGCATTGCTGACAACCGCGACCAGGGAGAAGCAGAGAAAGTGCTTTGAGCATGGTGGGTGCAAAAGGAAGTGTTAAAGGGAGTGTAAATGTTGTTTGGACATTAACATCTTGAGCAGTAGCTATGTTATATATATATACGTTGACGTTGGGACAACATTCATCAAGAGGCGGCCGGCGATAGTTCGTCCCCCTGCTGTGTCCAATCTTAATATAGCAGCAACTGCCAAGTACTGTTGCATTTTGCCTTTCAGTCTGCTCTGCCATGTTGACACCAAGCCAAGCACACCATGGACCAGTTCAGATCAATCATATATAGAGTGGACTATATCCCACCTAAGGGTCAGTATGGATCGCCAGAACATGGTGTGTCTGCTGTGAGTATACTGTTACCAGGCGTTGCCAAGGATGTGGACTAAACTCACCAAATAAAAAAACAAAGACAACAATGGGATAAATTTCGAATTCTTGCATATAAGTTAGTATGAAAAGCGAAAAAAAAAAAAATTGACTGAGACGGGACTCGAACCCGCAACCGCTAGTACCGAAAACTAGCGCGCTACCATTGCGCCACCCAGCCGTTTGCCACTGACAGTATTATTTGAGCTAGAATAATATACGAGAAATTCAATAGCGACCGACTGCCGACAGGATCATTTGACAGCTCCAGCTCGGACGACGTCCGCCGCTGGTCCCAGTTGATGTTGATCTCCACTATTCCAGCGCGTGCTTTCCAAGTGGTGCGTTGCGCAAGAGCCCAGCATCATACGATCGCCCACGACGAACCGACCTGCCAATCACCAAATCCCCCCGCCATCTCCGCACGCCAGGACCACAGGCAGCAAACCCAAGGAACTAGACTATCGAATACCTGAAAGAATGGAAGACACTGACCGTCCAGTGGACCAGCACAATACCTCCTCCTGCCTACTGTAGAGATCCCGCTGCCCCGAACCGAGCACCCGGCCTTGGAACTGGAGCCCGCCCAGCCTGGTCTCTTCCCCAACGCGGCCGGATTCTGCACAAACGAAATTGGACAGGGTCCGCTGGGGCTCCAGACGTTCCCCAGATCCCGACTCCAGATGGCTCCGTGGTTGGAGGGAGGCGAATCTGCACTCCGTCGGTGCCGGGCTGGTGGGAGTGGACCACGTGCCTCTGCCAGGATATATTTCGACTATTGAAATTGGGTTCCTATGGAGAGCGTACGTACGGGAATTTCACGCCTAGCTTTCATGTTTACCCGGTGGGTAATCCGTACCTACACCAGTTGAGATGCATCTACACCCGCCGAGAGACGATGGAAGACCAAATAGGGCTGTCGATCCCTTTCGTCTTGTGACTGCAGGCATCAATCTTCAGTGGCTTTGTGTTGTCGAGGAGGTAGGTGAGTGCGATCACATCACTCGCGGGGAGGATCAGCTTGGCCTGTCGTCAGGACCAGCTGCAGACTTCAATACTGTAACGAGTCAGAACAGGATCAGCGAGCTAGATGACCGGTACCGAGGACAATGCAATGCAATCGAAAGAAGGGTCCAGGAAACTTCGATCATCTCCACGTGGAGTCGTCAGTCCAGCAGCCTTAATCCTTCGATCCGGAGAAACGGAGCTGGGGATATAACCTCGGGATACTGTAGATCGAACCTAAGCCGCGACTGCGCTCACCGCATTACATCATGGCTGCGGTGTTCGGGGAGGAAGCATTTGGTCCAAAATTGGTCCCCATGATGAATCTCTTCCCCACGATCTACGGCGTACAGCTCTGGTGATGGAGGATCTGCAACGAGGGCACGGTAAATAGGTCGACTTTGTGGATGCCGTGTCGCCATGCTCCGTACATCCGCGCTTCCGGCCGGTCCCAACAGGACCTCGCCTATGCTCAGTCTTGGAAACAGGGCCAAGAGCTGGTGGCTGTACGAAGGATTCTGCCAAGGGGGCGTCAAGAAATGGTGAGGTGAAGGCGGTGGCGGCAGGAACCTTGGCCTGCGGGTGGAAGGGCTTATATTATCGACACCAGTCAACATCACAGTGGTAGCGGTAGTACATAATTAGTGACTGTGTTGTAAGCCTGCAGACGACTGAGATTAGGCTAATATTTCGATGAATAATGTTGGGAATTAAGATTTGTGTCAGACAGGATTTCGTCCACGCCTAAATGGAGCCAAATGGAGCACACCACCAACCAAGACCGAGGCTCTCCGGAGCAGTACATAACTACGCGGTATTGATTGACTAATCGAAAGACCCAACACGAGGCGTTCCACCCGGGAGAAAACAAGAGGAGCTCCGGGTGCCAATCAAGAGGCCGCGCGACGCAACTATACCTGCAGCTTAAATTAGTCCGAGAATCGACATCAATCCAGACTGGTATGACCTGCAGCAGGGGATGTCCTCAGGTTGACCGAAATCCTTCTGGGCGCACACGGCCGCCGACCAAGTCCGGATCTGGCAAAAGCGTCGTGGGACAGCTGTCTCGATCTAGAGCCGTCCGATGGGCGCCACCTGTTCCATCGGGTTGTATCGGATTGATTGCAGGATTACAGAGATGGAATTGACAGTAGACATGCTACATCTGTGCACAGTCGAAGTATGGAGTACGGAGTACTCCGTGTAGCGGCAAATCAACTGCACTGCACGAAATAGTACAGTACATTCCGTACATGCAATGAGGGCTAGACTCTTGCCTGGTTGCTGGAGAAACCCGACAGAAGTACAATACTCGACGACTAAGACATCAAAATGTAGATCAGACGGTGTACTACCGGACAGCTCCTCGATGCCATTGCATGGACGGTCTCATTGGCGGCGTCGGTAGGACGAGACCTTTGCGTGTCACCCTGACAGGGGCAGTTGAGATTGTCAGTCTGTTTGATTGAATGCGAGATTCCGCCCCGACCGCACATCCACTTGGAATGTCCCTGGGAGTCAAGCGTCAGGAGTTTTATAATGATAAGCCGTGGACGATGGGTCCACGATGAGCTTGTTCGGAGGACGCCTTGGTAAAGACAGATGATAATCATGAGGGTACAGTACTCCTACTATACGGAGTATGAAGCAGCCCACAGCCTACTACTCCGTGTAGTCTAGTCCTTCGGAGGAGACTAGAAAAGGAGACGGTCCGACAGGGGCGGGCGAAGGGCGGGCGAACGGTCAGCGTCAACACGGGAGAGCCAAGTGGAGCGGTTCGTTCTTCATTACCATCCATGGGTGATGGTCAAGCACGAAACAGACTAGCCAGACCAGGTGAATCATTGGTGCGTAATCCGCCACGCCGCGGGAAATCTCTGCTGGACGGAGGACTCCATCGGGGGAGGTGAGTCTCTATTGTTTTCTCACGTTCTTCCGCCGAGGAATATTTTGGCGATCAAGCATGAGGGGCTTTTCTTGACAGTTATGGAGTCGGTATGTAGGGCTTGGCAGCAGAATCCTTGCGGCAATAACACGGGAATTAGGATTATACTCCGTATGTCTGAATATATGTACAGGTACTATGGGGCAGGTATCTGCGTCCGATCATCTGAACTACCCGTTCGAGCTTGGGGGATGTCCGAGAAGATGTGCAGGAGAATTGGAGACGGTGGATACGGAGTTTGTTGCTGCTATTGCCGGGTGTTGTTGTTTTGGGGGGGGGGATGATTCAGATTCCGGGTTAGCCCTGGAATTAGCCGTGTCCACACGGCGAGAGCTTCAGCCTATGGGGCCCGCGGTAGATCAGAGGGAGGATGGACGGACGGAGGAGGAGGAGGAAGAGCTCCTTACCGCAGATGTTTCGGAGTTGACAGAGAACGAACCGAGACGCAGGGAGAAGTCAAAAACATCATGACTGGTCCTGACTGGATGGTTGGTCAGCAGGATCCATGCATGCATCATGATTTCTCCGCAATTGAGCGCAGCGGAAGGGTCGGATTGACTATTGCCGTATACGGACAGTACCTATGTACAGGTACCTTGGAGTAGGAGCATACTGTGAGGATGTGAGTAGTTATATTATATTATTTAATTCTATCTATTATTCCACAGCTGTATATTCATAATAAGTAGATGAACATCTAATCATGTCTCTTCCTAGGAGTACACTCTAGACAGCTTGATCACCTACATACCTAGGGTAATGTATGTAATATGTAATACAGGTACTAGACCCACCCCCGGGGTGGAAGAATCCAAATCAAAATAAAAATAAAATAAAAGAAATAAAATCGAATAAAAAAAAAGATGGATGGACGGATGGACAACTTCCATTCATCCTTAGACCAACCAGACCGCGTTCCATGCTGAGAGGATTTCCCCAGAAGAGACAGTCCAGTGCATAGTATTCAGCTAGAATGCTGAGAGACTCTTTTATTAATAC